AAGAAATCTCTTAAAGACTTCTCCTTTTTCCTTCCTTTCCAGGCAAACTTCCAACCGCCTACCACGAATAAAAAGGAAAATCCGATCGAAATCGAATCAACGTGCGAGCACTGGCAGAATGTAGCACGTGCTTTTATAGTATCTTTGATAAAGGAATTTCTTTTCTCGCGTATTCATCAACTCGACTCAACGATCGAGATCGAAATATTATTTCGAATATAGACAAATATCGGTATTCAAATTTCCCTGGAAAATTCTTTCAATTTTTATTCGTGTATCGTTACATATTCTTTACGTTAAAATATTTGATCAAAGTCCCTTAATTTATAATATCATTAGCACCCTCTAACATTAACCATTAAATGTGAAATAAATTTATAAGTGTATTCAAAAGTTAAAGCACAAGATCTTGCACCTACCAAAAAATTGGCAACGATATCTCGTGTTAATGAAAAGAAAAAAATAATAATATAAGAGAAGACGTACCCATTTTGACGGAAAATCCTATGAGAGAAAATCCGAAACGTCGATAAGACACCAAAAGAAACGAATCGTGAAAAGATCGACTCGACGGCAAAAAAGAAAAGGAAGACTCAGAGGACAGCTGTGGTGGATCCTCTCGCGTGCACGACCGACCGGCAACTGAAAAGGCAGAGGGTTCGAAGGACTGTCATGCGCCCCTGATTCCGTTTCGTTCGCTGTTCAGACTCCACCCACCTTCATTCATCCACGAAGGGAATTACCAGCCGCTGCTTTTCATTATTCGAGCCTTAACGTGCAGCTTTGCAGCCTGGCCTGAACACCATAACCCCCGGGAAAAGGGAAAGTTTCACCCTGACGGTTACCGGGGGGGCAGGAACGGCTGGTACACTCGCGTTTCCGGGTCCTTCCAAGTTGTACCCAACTTATTACATCCTCCAGTTATGTTGGAAATTTGCTACACTGATTTTGGAACTGTTCTAATTTGAGCTAGCCTTTTTGACAGCTATATCCTCTAGAGAAACCTACGCTCGAAATTGTCCACGAAGTACTATCGTACGAAGAAAATGTACAGCAAGCGAATGTTGAAAATGACAATTCGCACCTTAACCTTCAGATTTATGGGGGACAGTAAACGAAAAGTTCGTGGAAGGTTTTCCAACAGAGAAGGCAAAGGAAAATGGGAAGAAGGTGGTTGCACGTGAAAAGCTCCTGTTGCCGCGTGTCACGAGAGAAGGCAGCTGCACCTGGCGTAGCAGCTGTTGGAAACCGTCCGTTACCTGGTTCACCAGCACCTGTTCGGATTGCGTGCAGCGTGGACCTTTGAGAACTGGCCCATAGCAACACATGTTGCTGAGGAAAAGCTGAAGCCTGTCCTATTAGGGAAGCCACGATAAATGTCCATTTGCCTGGCCTCCTTCATCTTCGAAACCTTATCCTTCTGGCCCTTCGCTTACGAGTTCAAACTCTCTAAACTTTCATTTCCTTTTTATTTATAGAGAAGTACCAAACCTACTACACGATAATCTTATGGCATCAAATGAGATATTTCACTATTAAAATTCGGTTTTAACAATGATTCAATAGCTACGAGAAAAGCATCGGCAAAGGTTCGATTTCGAGCCAGACAGGACGTCGACAACAGATAATAAATGCATCGCGTGTGCATAATTATGTGGCATGGTATTTTCCTGGAATTAATTTCGAGCTTCTCAGGGAAGAGCTTTTTTTACCACCTGCTCAGCGATCCACACGACCAACCCCTGCCGTGTCGCGTGGTTATTTAGGAAGCACGAGAAAACTCACCCCCGAATCGAGGGTTGAAGAAACATATCGCGACGCGGAATTTCGCGGTTTTTACGCTCGCGCTGTGGTTTCCATGGAATATTTCCAGCTGGAACTTTGGCCAGACACTCGATTCGTGTTTTTCGTTCGCGTATAGAATCGGGAAATAGTTGGACTCGTAAGCAACGTTCTTCATGCATTCGACTGATTTAACTCCTTTAGCTCCGTGTTCGACCATTTCTTCTTACAAATTATCTTAATGATATTTAACTTAAAAAGTTCCAGATTTGAAATATTCCAAAGTTCAGTCTTGAAAAATTCAAGATGTTTAAACTTTCCAAAGAATGAAAATTTATATTTTCCCAGTGAATCTCGTACCGATAAGGAATTAGTATCAACGTGATAAACACCGTAAAAAGAGATTAATACGTGCACGTCTGATTGCACAACACCCGAAACACGCAACGCAAACAAAGATCACGGTGCTCGTGTCTGGAAACAATCGCAGGGGGTTGGTTTCGGTAAATTCGCAGGAATTTCAAAGCAAACAAAGGAAACTCGAAGAGTGTCGCGCGCGACGACGAGGAGGGGGTGGTTGAACCGTGTCAGCTCCGCTATGAACTTAATCTCAACTTTAATGGCCTCGTGGTTCTCCGGGATCCGTTTCCACAGGGTTGTCTCTACATTTCCCTCTCGGATGCAACGTAGGCTTCCTTCGGATGATGACAAATAACTAAATTTCGCTATTTTTTCATTCTGCAATTTCCATATTTCGAAATTTACATAACTTTAGATCTTCAAACTTCAACTTCAACTATTAAAAATAATCGAATGTTAATTTCTCCTAGATCACGTCCTTAGGGAATATTGTTCTCCAGTGTACCGAAAGTTAGTTGCGTCACTCGCAACATTCTTTCACCCTCGGAAAAGCGTCTATCAACAACCGGCGCTCTCTGACGCACCCTTAACGCGTGCAAGTATTTCTGCTTCGATAGAGACGCTTATTGTGATACCAATCCCAGATATCTTCGTTGCTGGTGGCAATAAAACTCGTTGTTTGCGAGACGAGACTCTCTTGTCGATTTCTTCACACGAAACACCCTCGAAATTGGTTGTTTCTTGATTTGAAGGATACGACTCGAGCGTCGTTCGATACAGGTGAATGCGAATTGCTTTTCTATCTTCTGCTTATCTCTGTGACGATCGTATATCATTTTATTTGTTTAACAAGGGGGTGCTTCTACCTAGCCTCTTCGGGTGAGTGGCACTTTTTAAGAAAGTCAGAAAATGTTCCTCAAAGAGACCGTTTAGGGGATGAAATCTTCGTTCCAAGAAGAAAACAACGAATCATTCGGAATCGATAAAGTCACCCCTTCCAAGAAGCGATCGAAATAAAACGATTCGGCGACGTCGCCGAGTGGCG